TAATAACTTTTTAATAAACAATGAGCGACGGTAAACGTCAATGGCCTTGAACTTCTTAAGGGTCAAGGTCAAGATCAAAATCAGTCGGAAGTCATTTGGGGCTGACTGTGTAAAGGTAAACATTTACCAACTAATTAACTAGGAACGAGAATTAAAGGCCAAAAACGAGCAAATCGTAACTAGGTGTTATCTTACATTATTATATTTTAACGTTACATGTTAAGATATACAAAATTCGTGGTACTGGTTTCAATTATAACTTTAGTCATCTTCAGCCGCAAGCTCTAACTTAATTAAAAAATAAATAATAAAACGTTATACATATAATATGTAACGCATATAAGTTATTGTCGTAATTTATCAAGTTATGTAAAATCTTGTAGATTGATTGCAATATAATTGTGTGACTTATTTGTTACCCAATAGTCCGTAAGATTTCTCGAGTTGCTTCTCGTGAGACCGTAACATCGAATGTGCGCAGATTTTCGGTCAATTTAACAGTTGTTGTCATTATTACAATTTATTTATTTTTATTAACTACTTTAACAAGATATCTTGTTCCTGTTATGAAAATCTGCGCACATTTGGTAATGCTCTCACAGCGAGCAATTACTCGAGAAATCTTACGGACTATTGGGTAACGAAGGTACACAATTATATTGCGATTGATCTATGAAATTTTATACGACTTTACACATTACGACAATAACTTATGTGTTACATATTATATGTATATCATTTTATTTTTTATTTTTTAATTAAGTTAGAGCTTGCGGCTGAGGATGACTAATGTTATAGTTGTATGTATGAAACCGATACCGCGATTTTTGTATATCTTAACATGTAATGTTGAAATATAATAATGTAACACCTAGTTACAATTTATTTGTTTTTGGCTTTCAGTTCTCGTTCCTAATTAATTTGTTATTATATTATAAGCTGCATTCATTAGATTTTTTAAATACTTATTTACTTTGAATATAAAATTTTAATATTATAATTTATGTCAATTAACACAAAGG